TAAAGGTCTTGGTCTCTGTGGAATCCCTGTAGAGAAACATTAGACAAGTCCATGTACCACAGAGCCAGAACTCTCCAAATTCACAACTTCCTGTGCTAAAGTTCAAGCCAGCCTGGAACACTGAACACATTCAGCCACTCCATGCTCCTCAGGTATTTCAGTCAGGTTTAAAAAGAGCAGCTAGGACAGTCCAAAGAGCTTCAAAGTTCACCAATCAAAGCCTTGGCTGAAAACTACATGACAGCCTGACATTTGGTAGGAGAACCAGGAATCTGAACCTTGGCAAAGCATGGGAAAGCCACAGGGATTTTCAAATCCAGGGATTTGAAATCCAGGGATTTTCAACCATAATCTCATTTTGCAGACAAGAAAGGTCATGTGTGCTATCTTTCCTCTACTTCTACGTGGATTTTTCTCTTTTCAGACCTCTAAATGGGAGGAACTTGAAATATGAAAAGCAATTCCTCTGGAGTTGACAGAACACTGTTTCTGAATCACATATGTGAATGCTTGATTCTATGGGAAAAAATGTATGTCCATTCCTTTTTCTGTCCAACAGGTGGGGTTTTCCCCCAGCAAAGAGTGAATGATATTTTTATTACAATTTTATTATTTCTGAAAAGTTGGTTGAGGCACATGTAAGGGTACCATCACCACCTTAAGTGGCACTGCAAAAACATTCTTGATAAAGTAAGTATTTTTTTTCAGTGTTAAGGAAAGACCCCCATTTTCTGATGCTTTTTTTCTCTTGTGTCTGGTTTATGCCCTTAGTAATGTGGAAAACGTGATCTAAGAATTAAAATTAGCCAAATGGCTTGAAGATCCATCAAAATTTCACAATCTGGAGTTCTTGTCTGGAAGCAAATCCAAGTTTTCTGAGAAAGGGAAGGTGCAAATTTAGAGTATATATAAATTTCTCTGAAATCAACCTCTTTGTAACCTGGTCCTTTGTTCAAAGCAAATCTCTAATGCTTAACACATGGAGAATATTTTGAAATGAGGTAAAATTGAAAGGCATTCAGACTTCAGGGATTTAAAATAGCTTCAGGTCCTCACACATCCAACTTGACTTTAAAGGGTCTGGAAGGGAATTTTTCACTCGGCATACAAAATATGCAATAATAKCTCTCTTCTGGAGGAGAGCTGTCTTACAGCTGTGCTGACAGGTGTGTGAAGCAAAGTTTTATTGTGTTGTACACAGAGGCAAATCAAATAAAACTGCAATGGTGTGGCACAGAGCTGCCAGTCAAACTGACTTACTGACTCTCTTCAAACAGGAAACGGGATTTGGAAGTCAGATTAATGCCACCACACAGGAATCAAAGCCAGCAGGAAAACAACTTGATGAAACACCACCCAAACCCATGCCATTGCAAATGTCAGTTTTACTTCTTAAAAGTCCTTAGGAATATAAACACACTGCATCTTACATAGAAGCAGAACAAGGAAAAAATACTCAAACATGGAAACATTTCACTACTGGGAAAAAAATAAAATTCAAACCTAAAATAATGATGACACATGAAGCATGAAAGAAATCTCAGGGAGAGTGAATTACAAAGATAAATCTACACAATATGGGTAAACTATATACTCAACTATGAATAAAATTTTCTTCATAATAGCTCATGATATGCATAAATCTTTGAATTAAGGAGTCTGAATRTGAGAAAATCTCTATGGCATTTTAATGCAAAAGCTGCTATAAGTAACCATAGCACTTTGTAGCCAACAGATTGATAAATTAACAGAAGAAACCTTTCACTCCTCATGCCAAACTGATTAAAAGGATTGGCTTATGTAGGAGGGTTTATGCAAACTGTCATCAAGCATGTTTAAAATAGGTAAAAGAGAGAGTAAAAATATGTAGTGACCATAGTGTTACCTGTAAAGTCAGGGAGACGGTGAGTACTGCAAAGAAGACAACCATCAACCCAAAACCTCCGATGAGGAGAGGCCTGCGCCCAAGCCGYTCAATAACCAAGCCCTGGAAAACAAAAAATGGCATTTGACCTCTTTGACAAAACACTGAAGAACCTGGACCATCAAGTATTTCTCCTAATAAATATGAAGGTCAACACTAAAACCATGGGAGTTGATTTTACAATATTTATAAGCTGTGACAGGTTTGTAATTGTTCTCACAATTAACAATTTAACCTCTTTGAAAAAACAAGTCAGCATGGTATCTTTATCAGAGAACACTGAGAAAACTGATTGAGTGGCTTACAAATAAGCAATACATTTCTATAACAGTCTCTTAAAACATGTAAATTTTAAATGTCATTATTTTGAAGCGAACTATAGTCTCTTGCTTTTGCATTTTGAGTGTTTCTCAGTTTCAACATCTCCCTGAACTTGAGCTTAAGACATTTAAAATTTGAGATTTAAATCTTTTTAGCACAGATTAAATCTTAATGAATTTAAGAATTTATTTTTAATTTTTTTTTTCTCAAACATAGAAGAAACATTTAGTAGTGATTTTGGATAGTTAGTGTAATTAGAATATCCAAACAAAAGAAACCTRTGCAGCAGAAAGCTTTGTTTAGACAAGTAGTTTTAACACTGATACTTGTGCAGTTACACCCATTTTGAATTTATATTTAACACCAGAATATAAATCACAAAATCTGACTACTTATCTGCTAGAGAAAAATACAATGAAGAATTTCTTTAAAAAACTGTAACRTGAAATTGTCTTTGTTAGTCTGACTCATTAAAATAGACTAATRCATATTTTGTCACAACAGCTGATGGATTTTTCATGTTGATAASTACTAAAATTACTAATGTCAGTTGGCTTTCTCATGAGAAAAATAAAATAATTTCATGAAACTTGAAATGTACCACGTCAATAAGTTAAAGTCAGAATCTCACAACTGTTTGCCATATCATTATTTACTGGAGACTGAAAACCATCTTCTACATGTTCTTTGAGGAAAAGATAAAATGGGCAACTAAAGAAAATCTGGAGTAACACTCTTAATTATGGGAAACACCACACACCACTCCACTGTGAACATCTAAAAAAATTTATTAAAGCAAAGTACAAAAACACCCAGGGATGAAATACTTTGAGTGGCAAGTGTTTCTCCCTCAGTATGGAGTTCACTAGCAGATTTCAGAACAGGCTTGTCTCTCCTAAAGACACATGGATGTTACACCCYGACTTCATCTTTCCCACCAGAGATATACACTGTGACACTGCAGACCATTGAAAGCAGCTCTGTGGCAAGATTTTGCATCTTTTATTTTTTAAAATAGTCAAATATACTCATCTGGAAAGTTTCCATAGCTTCCCTAATAGAATTATGGATTTTTAAAAGACCTGCACAGATATTAATAAGATTTCATTAGAACCAAATGTTTCAAAACTATGACTGCTTCACTGTCAAAACCTCTACAAGAGGGCAGGTATTTTCCACTATGATTAAKGGACCCATCTTGCTAACTCATGTGACCACACAAACACTGAACCAAGATACAACTTTTACGGTTTTGAGGGCTGAAAAATTATTTGACAGGTTTTTAAGACCCATCTTTTGCAACTTCCGCAGTAGATTTCTGCTAGAGATTTTTCATGCGTAATTTGGCACGAATTATGCATTCAGCAATAACTGCTGCCCAGGTAATTTGACATACTGTGCAATTTCTTTTATTTTTTTCAATGCTGGATTGATGGCCATGATCAAGCAATCTTGGTGTTACACCATTTAAGGGGTTTTGTATTAAAACAGGGTAAGGGATTGATGAGGGAAAAAGCTCCCAGATGCCTCTCATGCAAAACATGGGAAAAATGCGATACATAGTTTTCACTTGTAAAGCTCAAAGCAYAGCAAATTCCAGTAATGAAGGACAGTTTGGACTAGGTCTTCCATAACAGCAAGTTTCCCTGGTGAAAACAATGCTGGTTTAGAGGTTACAAACAGATAACAATTTTTTAGTTATGATTATAGAAATCCAAAACTTGTTAACTTGCAAAACCCACTAAGATGCTTATGAGTCATGAGAAGTGGAAGATGATTCACCAGTTTCCCAGTATTTATAGTTCTGAATGCTCTACTGCTATGCACTGGTATCTGTTATCCCCTAAAGATCTATAGCAAGTCAAAAGATGCTGTGCAGTAGGATAAATGAAATGACAAGAAATCCAGTATGTGCTCAAGTACAGACAAAAGAAGAACATTACAACTGTTTTCTGTGATCACACCTGAGTTATGTGCCAACCTGTGTAGGCTGATACTTGTTTTTGTGTTATCATAAACGTGCATTTGTAGAGACATATACCCAGTCATGATGATTAACATTGCTGAAATTACTGAAAACCTGAAAAAAGAATTGCAACCAAAATTCTGTCAACACAAATGTTTGGTGATAGAAAGGCAACTGATAAGCAAATTACATTAACAGTTCACACAACTTACTTTTGTCTGTCAGGAAAYGCCTGTGGATAAAGTTAAAGAAGCAAATGTCAACCTTTTCATTGAGTCAGCTGCAGATATCAGGGCTGACATAATGAAAGCAGAGTGCGTTAAAATAGATCAGACAAACTTCTCCAGAGAAAATGAATGTGCAAGCAAGTCCTACAGTCCAAATAGGATGTCACTGAACAGTATTCCCTGCTTATATTCTGGCCCTAAATTATACTAAACAAACCCYATCAGGTTTTCTTGGTGTCTGAACTCTGTGAAGAAGTTTGCTCTAWATGTTAATATCAAGAACAGCCGCACTTTCTCAAGTATTTCAGATAAAGGTCTGAGTAAGATTCTATGACTAGAATCAGACTTAACATGGCAAGCTAACACTGTGTTATTTCCATTTTAAATATCAGGATTAAAATGGATAACCTCATTTATATCACTTTATGACACAACGTGTAGTATCTTGTACCCAGAAAAAGGAGCAGAGTAGGAGACTGAAAATTATAAATTGGGTTTTTTTGATTCATATTTTGATATATCTATTATATCCATGGTATATCTMTTAGTCTACTGTATGAATTATTAATTTTTTTTTTAAAAAAGGGCTATTGTATTTAAGTACCTAAACTGTGAACAGTTCACCTAAACAGTGAAGCCAGAGTTTCAGTGGAGACATTCTGCATCATCCTTTGGAAACCATGGAGGAAATGTGCTGGAAATGAGAATACCTATKGAAGGATCTGGAATATGCTTTATTTAAGTTGTGTCATGCCCTAAACAGGGAATCTCTCCTTCTATGGGCAGATCTATTAACACACAGAAAAACTCTTAAGAACTCTTTTTCAGAACATCCTGAAGCAGAATAAAATCGTCTCAGTAGGAAAGACTGGGCTTCCCTGACTTCTGTGTGATACTGCAAAGGATTTCCCACATCCTTTTGCAATGTGGTTTAACTCATTCCAGGCTTTACACAGCTTGTCTCTGTCACAGGCTTTTAGTAACACCTTAATGCATCACCCTATGGGAAATACTCAGGGCACAGTCTTCTCAATATAGTCACAGCTGGTCTCTGTCTGTGAACATTACAAGAAAACCAAATGTAGTGCTGCAGATGGCAAAATTGCATGTGGGATGCTTGATTTGAATAACTTTCCCTTTTATTTTATGCTGGCTTCATGGAGGAGGGAAGAATTTTTTTCAGATGRCTTCTGTCTCCCTTTCCATTCACTCCGCTGCCTTGCTAAAGAAAGGCACTGGAAAATTGTTCTCTCTGCCCACTAAGAGTAAGACAACAACTAAAATTAAGCTCAAGTACTAAAAATTGTAAAATAGCAACAGTAATCAAACTTACTGAAGAATAACAAATTGTGTGGTAYGCCCTTACTTCAGAAGTTGCAGAACAGATTTCTAACAAACAGGGAATTATTTAGGTTATTAGGAGAGGAATTATTTAGGAGAGGAAGTTACCCAAATAAATAAGCTGCAAAACCTTCAACTGAAAAACTAAGTTCATGTTTTTCATTTAAAYAACAGCAATAAAATATTTATTAATATTAAGGAAATAAAATGAAGTCTACAAAGCAGCATGTCTTGAACTGAGAAATTGGAAGGGAGCAGAGATATCAAAACATCATTATRTCCAGAGGCACAGCAGGTGCCATTAACAGAAAAAGTATTAAAAAACCTCCTCTTGAGTMCAAAAAGTTACCACACATACCAGGAGCCAAAGCATGCACATCTACCTCAGTATGTATGARGRGTGTGCTCTGGATAAGSCCCACAAACTGACAGCACAGAAGGAACTAAAAAGATGACAGACCCTATTTATAGAATGGCTTTAATATCATGCAATCATCTCCATATAATTATCATCTGTTTTCACATAAAAGAGGTGTATTCTTCACTTAAATCAGTGGCAGAATTATCATTATTATTTTTCCACATATCTTAAACAGAGAAGCATGTATGCAGTATCACAAAGATATAGGGACATTCATATTTCTCTATTTCTACCTACTAAAAAATAATAAAATGTTTTTTAAAAAATTATTTTGCCAAAAACAGATTTGTGGAAATTCACAAACATCAGAACAAGATATTTGTGATCATGTAAAGTCCTTATGTCCTAGACTGTAAGGAAACATATTGATAGCTGGATTTAGTTTAACATTTTGTAGGCCACAAGGAGTTGCTCTGCCACTGGAAAGGATTTTTTTCCAAAACAATTCTTCTGACATTTAAAAATACTTGCTGCTGTGTTCAGTATTGTGCAAATACAATTGGTATAGAATATATGAAGAAAAAATTCTATCAAAGAAAGAAAATAGTACTTGTTTGCGACATTCCATTCCAAAGMCTTCTCCCATTGCTTCTTCTTTATTGCAGTGCAAACAGAAATGTATTTAGCAATTAATTATGTAGTCTCCCACTAAAACATGGAGGCTAAGTTTGATCATTTAGTGCATTTTTTTCCTWGTCAACTCTTCCAGTTTGAAAGAGGAAAGAGGAAAAATGTGCATGGATGAATTTTTCTATAAACATCTTCTACATTCAGAGCAGAGTGAAGGATCTGGAGCTCATGTATTGGGAAAGGATGTCTGTTTGTCCTGAGCAAGGCAGCAGAATTTAATACCACGTGGGTCTCCCTTGTTCTGTCCCACCTTCCTGGGGGCTGTTTCTGCCAGCCACACTGAACACTCGTAGCTGTACTCGGCCTCCCAACAGCAGCAGRCACAGACTCTGAGATGAGAATGAACTGCTACCAGGTAAGGCTGTTCTCCCAGGTGAAATAATTGATGGGTCACCACTTACTATACTTTGGCCCTTGCTGTTTCTGCCTTCTTCCTCTTTATGCATACAAAGCATTGCAGGACATACCAACTTTTTCTGTTCCTTTTATAAAACTAAAATTAAAGATCATCTTAAAAAACGTCCCAAGACACAAACTGGGTTTAGGATTAAAAATAGAAATAATATTTTGAATTGCTTTATCAACCATTACACTTAATAAAATATTATTCTTTTTCTTAACCTGCATAAGAAAATAAAACAAGTACTTTAAATATCAAGCATGCCAATGGAATTTTATAGTCATACTTACAGAAAAAACAGCAGCCAGAGTCTCAACAGCACCAGTACTCAGTGTGACATAAGGGATTGTTTCATGCTTGATCCCAGATTCACTAAAGATGTTGTTTGTGTAGTACCAGATCTGTATCAGAGATAATGAGTTATTAATCATTATGGATTTGAATACAATATATTGGTATTCAGTTCAGCCATCTAATATGCCTAAAGCCAGATTTGTTAAAACTCTGAGCACTCCCAAATGGCTGAGGGTGGGACAAGACAACAAACGAAATGAAGGTGCAAATTCCAGGTGGATTAGGCACAATGCTGCTGTAGCTCCACTTGCAGACCCAGSCAGAATCACAAGCAGATTTAACTCAATTTAGCTTAATTCACTTTAGGAGTAAATCAAAGAAACTCACTTTAAGCTTGAACAAGAGGGTATAAGTAAGTTTCTTGTGGTGAAGAAGCAGGTTCATGCAGCTTTATGGAATACTTCAACAGCATAAAACAACAGAGGAGAAAGCAGGAAAGATGTTGAGAGGCACTGAAGAAGCTGCTTATTTTTGGACAGAAGGTGTGAGCTGTGTTTCTGCTTTAACCTTACKGGAGTGTGGACATCTGCAGTTAAGCCATCCCTCTAACCTCTCTTTATCATTCACAGAAAGAAAAGACACTTTTAACTTGAGAGTTGCTTGGTGAAAAGTGAAAAAGCTTTTTTTTTAATAAAATGAATCATAGAAGCAGTTGTCACTAATGGACAAAACACAGGTTGTATAGCTTAGAGGAAGCCAGTCATGTTTGGTCAGTAAAACCTTATCCAGCAGTGACAATGTCCAGGCAGAGAATATATAGTGGCAACATTCTGAAATAGTGAGCCTGATAAGCATCAGAGTCCCATTCACATCCACTATGTTCSAAAACAATATAATATTTATGTTTGACTCAAGGTGAAAGAACTAGCCGAAGATTTTGGCTGTGAAAACTATGCACAAAGGGGAGACAAACAAGAGTTGATTTACTAGAGAAAATTAAAAACAGTTGAAACAACTGGTTATCAAAAGAAAGTAAACCACGGGTAATTTATCTGTGACAGGAAARCCCAAAGCCATAGATAATGATGGCACTAAATATTAAAGCAGCAGTGATTTTTTTTCCCATGGTATTGTCCATGGTACAAGCTCTAACAAGGCAAGCACTGCTAAATGCAAGGCTTGTCAGATGGATGGAAGTGTTATGATTGTATGAGGAAAACCCTGCTGCCTGCCAGCATATTATGCACATGCTACATCTGTTTGTAAAGAAACAAACTCAGCAGTTTTGTTTAAAAAAAAAAAAAAAGAAAAAAAAAAAGAAAAAAAAGGAGGAATTCTAGATTCCCAACTAGCCCTTCAGCAAAGCTGCTTGTCCCAGGCCAAAGAAGAAAATTCAACTCACATTCCATAAACGCCAAGTAAAATACACACTCAGGAGTAAAAAGTCACCTTTTCATATTACAGATAAAGAGAAACTGACTGAAAACTTTTATGCCAACTGCTGACACACCAGCTTTCACCAAAACACATGCATTGACAGGAAATGGCAGCAACAAACTTCTCTACACAAAGTTATCTGCCTTCATGTAGCCCCTGCTGGTGTTGATTTGCACTGCCCTGCTGACACAGAGCACAGACAAAAAMCAAGGATCAGCTCCCAGTTCCCTCTGAGATCTTTATGCCCACTGATAATTTTTTGGGCACCCAGTACTGTGACAATTTATTCACTTCACATACACCTACACAGTCTATAAGGACAACAAAGTAGCTCAAAAACTGCTATAAAAATAGTTTTCTTCTTCATACTACAAGTTACAAGATTGATTTAGCACAGTAAAGTTAGAAAACACGTAGTTTAGGCATTTCATCCATCCAGTTTGTATACAGCTAGATCTTCTAAAGATGRCACAGATATTGCAGGCATGCAATGTTTAAGAGAAGAAAGAGGSCAAAGAGCCACTAAGGCAGTTAACTCATGGTTGAAATTTGCCAAAATACAACAAGAACATAAGAAATTCTGCAAATGGTTCCACAGAAGACCATGACTGACTGCTGATGGTAAGATTAAAAAACAGCAGAGAAAAAAACAGGATGAGATTCACAGACTTATTTCTCTCTGTAGCAGCACAAAAATAAATTAGGATAAAAATTAACAAAATGTGCATTTTTCAAAAGAAWAAAGTGAATGTTTTTCAGCCTGTGTACCATTAAAGAGAGAAAAAACATKGGTAAATGTACTAGGCTAATGATAATTTTCCTAATTTCACTTATTTTTCTGACATGGCTTCTGATAACTAATGATTTCATTAGCTAACAAAATGAGCTAGTGATTAGGCTAAAGATTTTTGAATGAAARAGCTGCAGAAAATGGTGCAGAAGGCTCAAAAACTAAATGGGAAATGAGAGAGACACAGCACTTATGGTGCACTGCATCCTCACCCCTTCCTACTCTGCCTGGTGCTCTCCACACCATCTGTGAATTGCACTCCATAGCAGATCTTTTGCACACTGAAAACATGCAATTTTCCACAGATCCATCCCCAACAATTTCTTTTGATTGAAAACACAGCCTTAAAGGACAGACCTTACAGAAGCCTATGGGGTCCTGCTTTGGGACAGATTCCCTTAACGCAATATGCAGTACAGTTTATTCCTTGATATAAAAAAGGATAAACTTCACCAGGGAAAACTTCACTGTAGTTTTGTGACATTTTTAGAACTGAGATTAAATGGTAGAAGGTAAATAAATTTATTATAGGTATCAAATAAATGTTAACAGAGTAAAAGAGACTAATAGAAAATTGTTTATTTATGTCAATTTAGGTCAGATTGTCTGGTATTTTGTTATAATTAAAAACATTTACATGATCAGACYTTCACCATGATTTCTGTTTCATGTGGAAACAAACAAATGTACTGTTTTTAAGCAAAACAAATTTTTATTTGAAATAAAAACCTTAGAAGGAAGCAAGTGTTCTCAGGCACCAGCAGGATGATTACAGAAGCCTGACAGTTGGCAATTTCCCTGGAGAACGACCTGAGATTCCTGCCTGAAGGAATCCCAACTTTCCCATCTGCCCTGTCCAGATGGCAGTGGTGGAAAAGCCCAGACTGACTGTCAGGGCACTGCAGACAGAGCARAGGAGTGAGAAGGAGCCTTCCCTGCCTGTCAAACCTGGCTGGTGCTGGCTCACACCCACTTGGTTCAGATGCACTCAGGCAAACCAAGACCTGGCTTCACCACATCTGTCATACCTGGACCTGTCTCCTCATCCTAGAGCTTCAGGTGACCTCAGCAGCATCAGCCAGGAAAACCAAGCAAAGGAGACAACTTTTTGAAGCCTGGTCTCTTAATCAAGTGGTCCAGCTATTTCTCTTGACCTCTCTTTTTATTTAATTTGTTTTACTATTAACTAAGAACTGTCTAAACAATCCATTTCAAAACACAATTTTTGTGTGAATAATTTTTTTTTTCATGTATAGTGACATGGCATGCGAGGAGAAACAAAGCAATAATAAATAAGGAAGGCTTGAAGTAGCCAACTCAGCACACAGGTTTCGTGACAAAGACAGTTTTTCTGAGGCATATTTTCAGAAACTGGACATCCAATGACACTTTCAAATAACTCTGGCATCCGTCTTGGACTGGACACATCTGTCTATCCCCCACATCCTCACTCAAGCCAAGGGAGTGTGGCTGTGYTCTGCCACAGAATACTGGACAGTTTCTATCAACTATTAAGTGTCCTATTAACTATTAAGTCACAAAACTCTTCCGTTTCCCCTGATACACAATGAGTTCCATTATTTGAACAGTCTGTTTATAAGTGTCATTTTATTTCCCTTATGTGTTGATAAATCTTAAAAAGACTGTGTGACAAGATAATTCTGGTTCCTTTTTTTTTTTCTCAAAAATGTATCCACAATAAGAAATAACATAACCTGTCATTAACACTGAAATCCTACCATTAGAAGAAAACACCACTTATAAAAATATTATCATAGTTTACTTCACAGGATGAAAAAAATCTTCTAATTCCCTCCTAGTATTTTGCAAAAAGCTTTTAAATACCAGAGTTCTAATTGCATKAATCTTTTAAATGGTCTTGGACAAATTACTTAGTATTTGGAGTTTTAAAGCTATACCTGARATAAGCCTGAGCTAGTGTTCATAGATAGGAAAGCAAATAAACTTATTAACACTGAGGGGAAAATCTATCTGGAGTGTGCTGCAGAGCCACAGTGAGAGCTCCTTGCAGCAGTAGAATATTATTTTTTTGCATATATATATATATAAGCAAGCAGTGCCTTTGAACTGTGACAAAAACCCGTTTCCCTTTGAGGTTCTTCATGAGGATATTTGTTTTGTGCAGCATAAAACATCTAATCCAGATGCCACAAGCTGCAGCAAGGATAGTTCTGGCTGGGTATAAAGAAAACACTTTTCACAGTGTGAGTGGTGTAAACACGTGGCAGAGGTTGCCCAGGGAGGTTRTGGGCTCTTCACCCWTRAATWYRTTTAAAACTCAGYTGCACMAAKCCCTCAGCAGCCTGAGCCAGCCCTGAAGTCAGTCCTGCTCTAAGCAGGRGCCAGGATCAGGAGGAGGGATCTTCCAGCCTAAACTGTGCTGTGACCCTGTCATATCGGTTCAGACAGATGGAAAAGGAGCCTCCTGATATCCATTAGCCTTGGACACATTAATGGTCAATCAGATTTGTTGCTGACTGTTTTATGTCCTTTTCCTCTTTTGCTTCACTTTCCAGGACAGGAATATTGAAGAAACAAAAAATCAAATATGCAGTGTAACCTCTTAAAATTACTTATAGAAAGTTTTGCTGACTTCCGTAAGTACTGAACTGAACCAATCCAAGCTGGAATGTCTACTGATAAATCTCTGAATAAGACTGGGGCATATCCCGAAACAGAGAATCTGAATATCAGAAATGCAAGCTGCAGGTTCATTCTTTGCTGATCTCTTATACTTTTTCATGTATTCCTTCAAAGTTAGTACAACATGGGTTCCCTCACACTTTTTTTTTTTTGTTTAAAAATACAGAACTCCGTGGATCTTCCCACATGCCGCTGTCACAGAACCATTACTAGTAAGAAACAGCCAAAAATGGAAAGTTGTAGAGGTTGGTGAGTGGTATAGCCCAAAGCCTGTTTTAAAGGAAAGGAGCACCCCAGAGCTGCCAGGGCCTGAAGAAGGACACTCACAGCGTTGAGCCCACAGAGCTGATAGCAGCCCATGGTGACGACCACGGTGACGATCTGCCATCGCACGGCGCGGGTTCTCAGCAGCTGAACGATCGACACCAGCTTGGTGTTCCTTTGGACTCGAGACTCTGCCAAAACTTCCTCTATTTCCTGAGACACGTCATCTTTCCCCAGGAATCTCTGAAATGCTGCAAACAGAGGACAAGTTCTTTAGGCCAGACACTTGGCATTGTGTGCATTTACAACAAATTTACTTCCTCAAAAGGGAAATGTGTGACAAAAACGGGAGGCATACATTGTCTACAACTTAATTATTCTTCTGCCAACAATATCATTCTGCTCTGGGTGTGATCTGGTTAATCCTTGCTATTGGTCTCAGAAACTGCAACAGAAATAAAAATTATTTGGTTCCCTACAAGTTCTCTCCTTACATTATTTCATGTGTAATATAACCTAAGGTCCAATGCAGAGTGAAAACTGTGTGAGACTTGAAAATATTTAATACCAAAGAATCTYCAAACATTATTTGACTTTGCTACTTTTGCAGCTTAGCAATATACCTGACTTCATTGCTGGAGATAAATTGGATAGAGAATTAATAGGATGTAAAAATGTATGTAAGCCTGCTAAATCAAGAAAAGGCAGCTATTTGGAAGGAATAGCTATTACTCTTCATATCACCTCCTGTTTTAACTAACATATAGAAAAAATGTATTTTGTTAGGATAATTAATATTATAAATAATTATCCTGAGCAGTTCAAGACTTAATATCTGTCAATGCTGGAGACATGGGAATGAATTTACATGGCCAGTGCAAGTAACCATCCAGCCTCATCTCCCCAGGAAGACACCATTTAATGGCTCGCTGAGATACCCTTCTGCTGTGAATAACACAAGTTTKCTATCCCACACGTCCTCCAAGATGCAGATACCTCCTAAAGCATGTGATGTCTCTCTACCAACCTTGTTTTACAGATAGTGTCTGTGCTGGTGATAGTTTTGTCTCAATCTAATGAGCATACCCCAGGGGTTGACATTTTAAGRGATGTTTAAAATGCTCATCATCTTGGAATGACTGCAGAGAAACAATGACATTACACATACCCTGCAATAGGGCTTTGTGACCCAGTAGGATGCTAACACTCAAAACAATCCTTTACACAGCAGGTCACTTAAAATTGTCATTTTTATTAAATGAATAAATTCATTTAGTTCACCTARGAGCCGAATAAATTTTTCCTATCCACAACTTTGCATAACACTGCCTATAAATAAATGAACATATATTTCAGTGTTTACATAACTTTGCATGGTCAAGCAAACTAGAGACACTGGCTAGTCGTGGTTAATGCATCCAGACTCTATTTAGATTTTGAAGTTACAACATTCTACCTTTACCCAGTAGGTGAAAAGGCCAATTAATGATGTTTTAATGCTGTGAGGGATAGGTCACACAAATGAAGCAGTGGCGTCCCCAGACCATCCCTTCTGTCACTTTGGTGAATGCACAGGGCTGCACATTCTGCCTGCTCCCAGTCTGATGGTGAAGGGAACTAACTTGAGCTCTGAGCYAAGATTTTCTGAGGCACTTAGCACTTACAATGTATTTTAATGGGCCCTGCATGATTCTGCTTTACAMGAAGGAAGCTTTTTTTTGAGGGATGAACCACCGCTGGGTGTTGAGTCAATTCATAATATTCATATATTCTGATAAACAGTTTCTCTCTTGTGAGAGGAGAGGTCAGAATTTTTAAAYCTCTCAGCAACAGCACAAGATTTATCTTTTCACAGGCTGTACAATCAGAAATGAATTAACAAATTCACACCGCAGAACTAAAACTTTGAGCTGCTCAGTTTTGTCCTTTGCCATTGCCCATTTTTTAATAAACAACATGTTAAACACTCATTTTTATGAGTATGATGTATTTAAAGACAATGAAAATAAATGTAAAATTAGAACAATGTGTGCCTATGGTATGTTAAAGTCAATGTCTTGTACTGAAATTACACTTTCCTCAGTGCTATTAGAACACTGATAGAGAATAATTCAGGTAAAGATGAGAAAACCAGACATGAATCATGTAATCTTCCTTGAAAGGATTCCCTCATATTTTTAAACATCTGGTTTATCAGTGTGAATTAGGTCAGTGCCCAATTTTCTTTATATTTCCTGTCCTTAGAATCCTCAGCATTACTTTAGGGCACACAAATCAAAAATATAGGTGCACTCAARTAAAAAGACAGCAATCTGTCTTTTCTGCGCAATGGAGCTTGTGTTATTTCTAGAGGAGCCAGAAACTAAAAAACTGCAATTACCAAAATTGCCAAGTACAAGGCAGAAAAAACATAGCCACCTGATTTATTTTTCTTTCCTTCATGGCATTAAATAAAGAGACGTAAATGCCACTAGACAACTTTGGTGGATCCTTAAAATTCCCAACAAGTCCAGAAAGGCCAAGAAATTGCTATGCTCTACATGCACAGTTTTGAATAGACATCACCCAACCTTCTTGGAAAAAACATTTTCCTACTAAACAACACATCTTTAATTTTCTTCCATTACCMGTTTTTCAGTACCATAAGAATCACAATTTTATGCATAATTAATGTGGAAATAAATTCCGCATTAGCAGAGAGATGGGAAAACTTAGACGTCTTTCAATGTCTGATGTTCAATTTATTAATTTCACATTCTATCTCCCTGCATTACTGGCAGGAGAAGCTCAGCAGTTGCTCCTCTCCTCACTGCAATGACTCATTTCCCTCCGTGACTGGCTGCTTCTCTCTATAAAGAAGCCTTATCTTCATGGAACACTTACAACTGTCTAAGGAGCTGCAGYTATAACAACTTTTAAGCCTTTCCAGATTCCTGTTTCATTCCCTTGGATCAGAAGGTTGTGGAAGCTCAGCTTTCAAAAGTTGGAATATTGCCTTTATAAATAAGAGAAGAACTGGATGGTTCCAGTCAAGGGAAAAGAAGTCAAGAAACCCTTCCRTTTACACCACCAGTTTTTATTCATCTCAGCTAAGTGAATCTGAAGCATCTGAAAGAGGTTCAAATATCTGCAAAAAAATTAGTTGGTACGATTGGTTTGTAAAACCAATCAGCCCTTTAAATTAACTGAAGATGGATACTCAACGACTCAGCTAATTGGGAATTACTAATTCTTTTTCCACTGTAGTACTTCCAGGATTGTGCAAAGAAAGCAGTTGCTATCAACAGAATTAGCAAATGAACTTTTAAAAAGAAATTTTAAAGGATCAAAATGCTATTGTGTGGTTTACAGAGTAAAACCAGCACCAGGCAAGAAGGGGCAGAAAAAGAGAGAMGTTGTCACAGGTAGTTTGGGTTTATCTTTGAAAAATAAACAAAGAAAAATTAAAATAAGCTGTGTGAGTATTATTGTCATCTGTTTCCCATGGACACCTTCACTTTCACTTCCCTGATGATTAATTATATTAARTKCARTATCCMACTGTCACACACAGCTTTGCCAAAGTTCTGCTTAAACAGCATCTTCTTTGGCCACTGTTGAAGACAGTMGAAATTTTCCTGTAATAACTCCATGTCAACACAAACATAATCCACAAAATGAACAAACAGTTATTTTCATGCACACAAATTTTGTTTCTGAATATCCAGAAAAATAATTCTGTTGTATCTTGCTAGAAAATATTTGAATATACTAATGCTATTAAAATCTAGCAAAATATTTATTATTTACTAGCATGTAGCATAGCAAAATCTAACAAAAACTGTATGTCCGGTTTCACAGACCAACAATATGTCTGTTCAGGTTTACCTGAAACTAGCCAAGATGTACAGGTAAAACAAAACATATACATGCCACCCTGAAATAACACAAGAACTGGTCAACAGAGTTGTATTAAAGGTCCAATGAACCTAATATCCTTTGTAAAAGACAGAAGGTTTAAGAAAAGTCTGAAAACATCCAGACAAACCACAATCACTCCAGCTTTTGGCAGGCAAATATCTGAGATGAAGATTTACCATGGGCCAGCAAGTCTAGCAGTCTCTTCAAATAAGGATAGTTTATAATGCTTACAGACATACAAAACCCACAGAGAAACAAAAATAAATCATATACRTCTTTGTTGTCAGTCATAACAACTTCATTTTAATCACTGGGTTTGCAGTAAATTGTTCCTGCTGTAACTTTGGGTTTAATACCTCTCCTGTCCACGCAGGCCCCCTGAAGGGTTTTGTAAAAAATTGGCTACCTGCTTTGTAAATCAGGAGTGGCCTTGCTCTTTTGTCACGTGAAAAGGTATCAACTCTAATCCATCTCTCTAAAAATTTCGATATACAYTTCTCATTATACCTATTATAACATWTCTTTCATAACCATGGGAGTTTTAATGTTTGACTGAAAATACTAGATAAACGGATTTTGTGTGTCACCAACAGATGTTGCTGTGACATTTTATCCAAGWTGTTTGATCATTAGGAGATAACAATATTCTTGCTCTTTGGCAAGCTGKGATACCAGCTGAATGCCTTTATTGATTTACTTGACCTGATACTGTAGCTGCATAGAAAATATGTTTCCTCCTTGTAACAGTGCACTTCAAAAAAGACACCCCCTCAACTCTCCAAAAGTGCTTTAAACCAATGTTGTTAGTCATAACAAATGTTCTATTTTATCACTGCTACTGATTTCATTTATATTATATCATTGTGACACTCACAGATCAAGAGAGCACTTGGTATGCAACTAATGGGCAGCTCACGTAAAATCCTTGTCTTACTGCCCTAGAACGTGGATGGTAAACTGTCTGATGTAATTGTAGCAGCAGGACTTTCTTTTCCTTACTGTTTCTATCCCTGCCACTCCTCATTCCCACAATCTTCTTCCAAAATCCTTCTCTTCGAGCACTGAAATACCCATTTCTGCTCTGCTGTCTGGCCATGATTATGAACAAGGATCCCACCAGTTAAATGCTAGGCATTTTCTTCCCTTCTGTTTGTATCCAATGAGAAGAATAATGGTTATGGGGCCTGGGAGAGGAGCTGGGGTGGTTCTGCCCTTGCTTCATTACCAGACTGAGTTTCTTGGGCAAAGCAGGTTTACAGATGATGCTGTTGTTCCAGTGGATTGGTCTCTCCCCAGAACACATGAATCAGTTCTCTGCATTCAGCAGTGAGTCAGGAATATAAGAAATAGTTCAGTTCTGCCCCTGTGTCCCAAAAAATGGCTTCTCTCACGGTAACCCTCTAACCCCATTCCTTCATTTTTTCATTGTCTACACAATACGTTTTAGTCTTTCTCCTTCTCTCAGTCTCTTACTTGTCCCTTAAAGATATCTGCCAGCAAAGAGATTGAGACTGTTCGTATTTTGATAGTTATCATCCGGTTATCTCCCGAGACAGAGAAGAAAAGGAGGGGATCAAAGCAGGAGCAAAACTTTTTGGAAACTCAGTGACCTACATTATCTCACTGGATATTATTGCTCTAAAACAATTAGGAAGATTAATGCTGTCAGCACCATTTTAGGAGCTTTGACATAATGCATGGTTTAGAGTATTTCATAAGGKTTTAGAGTATTTCAAAGTCATCTGCTTTAAATACAGCAGACCTTTCACAAATTATAGTTTTTTATTTCTCTGACAAGGTATAATCCTCAGTGAAATATACATTTGTATGAGTAGCCCTGATCCATTAGGGGAAAGAAAAGGGATTAAGTCAGTAGAAAGAGTTGCAAATTTCTGATATTAATATGCAGATTTAAGCTAAGAAGCAAATAATTCAAAAGCATTACTGTAGTCATCATTAAAATGAAGAATTCCGCTTTGTCATTATATGACTTACAAGCAGAAGGGCATTTTAATAAATCACAGCTCCTCCAGTCTCCCTAATATTTTGAGTTTTCTTCCCCCATTTYGGCTGATAATATCAGCAGAATATCCAGATGATTTGTCCTGATTGTTAATTCACCCTCCTGTTTTGTAAATTATGCTGTAGACGATTCTGCTACACTCAAAGTAAATTATACTGTGTACTACAACATATCTCAGAATTGAGTCTTTTCTTTTAGAATTAATAAAATCCAAAAGCATATATTGATAAAGAGTTACTTTGAAATGCTTTTATATAATCTGTCTCTTTTTCTCAGAATATCTAAATTTWTAGTCCTTAAGGTGGCTCAAGAAAGCCATCTTTTTGTAATCASCAAGCCAACTGCTAAAGCTCATTTCCCCTCCAACAACCAAGTGTGGGCAACTGCTCTCCTGATGCCTTCTACTGCAAAATCTACCTACAGTAGATTGGATTTCAAATTATTTTCAGAACATGTATGCTGAAAACATCCCAGACTGCAGTTGGCTCATTACCAGCAACAATAAATGGTGTGAATTTCAAGGCAGGTGGTTTTATTTTACTGCCATTTTTCAGAATTTTTAACTTCTATCTATTAGAGGTGCTGAGGTTTCCAGGTGGATGGACAGGATTTTYAGTAGCTCCTCATAACAAGTGTGACATTATGCAACAACATCGCAGATGCGGACTCTTTGCCAGCCATAGCCCTGGAAATGCATCTACATTTTTATCAGGCAGAAACGAGCCAGTTTAAACTTGGCACCCAAAGGCATTTCTTCCCTGCCCAGCCTCGGTGCTGCWGAAGTTTCCCCCCAACAGCCAACCTGAGCTGGGTCCTGTATCCCTGCCTGGCAGGGCAGCCCTTTCCATCATGGTCCTTTGAAAAGGTGGTTCTCTGCCTCCTCAAAACTCTGCTGACCCTGTGAAGCTAAAGAATTCTCCCCAAAACCTTCTTGCTTTTTTTTTTTTTTTTTTTTTTTTTTTTTTTTTTTTTTTTTTTTTTTTTTTTTTTTCCTAAGCATTGAACTGTATCTCTAAATGTCTGAGGCTCCAATATTTATATAATTCTTCAATCAACACCGAACTGGGACAACATGGGAATCTCTTCATTAGTGTGCCATTTCTTTTTCAAAGGACTCTCCACAACAAAAAAGACCAGTTTTTAATTTCATAATAGAAGAAACAGGATAGAGTTGCATTAATTCCATACTAAAATATTATTAAATTTATATTTCAAATGTTGATACACAATTTACAAGTAACCTTGCAAGCAACCAGTTCTTGACTGAAAATGTTAAGGTCTGTATTYAAATGAGGTTTTTAAGAATAATTTGTAAAGCAGTCAATTTTGGTATTTTGGTACTATAATCAGACTCCTTCTTTGTACACTCTTGTTTTTCATGTGTCCTTATAATAAGAAAAAMCAAATTTTCAACATTCTCTCAGCTGCCTTGGGACCATAGGAAATTTAATGGGGTGGAGAATACAGCAGCTGTGATCATGCAAGCAAATTGTTCTATACCTAGAACCTAAAGTAAGAATAAAATATTCTGTGTCTGTGAAGTTGAAGCAATATAGAAACACTGGAAATTTTCAGTTAAACCGATGTACGGTGTTTTTATTAGATCTACAAAGGTTATTGAGTTACAGAGGCACAGGGTGAAACAGCAGCTACTGGGGGAAAAACCAGAATCATTGTTTTTATTAATCAAAGTGCAAAGACTGTAGATAAGGGAGAGTCACGATGACTGAAACTACCTTTTACTTCCAAATGAACCCTGCACAGAGTGGCTGGCACACAACAGCAGGATGATTTGGTTAGATCTGTATCACTGTGTGTAACTGGAGAATTGCTGGAGAATTTGCTGGGGAATTTAAATCATAAAAAAACTTCAAAGCTACAGTTATATTTACACATAGAGAGTCAAACAATAAAGAAAAATTATTGYCAAGAGAAGCTCTCCTATTGGAATATTCTACTTTTAGTGATGTATCAGAATCAGGTATCTCTAGCCCGCATCCCTACAATAAACAGCCTTTGTTGCAAGAAAGTAACATATCTTACCTTTTTCTGCCTGGCTCCTGTTATGCTTCTCAAGTAGGAGGTAGCGAGGACTTTCGGGAAGAAAAGGCAGAATCACAGCTTGTATCAATGATGGGACAATGATTGCTCCAAACAAGAATGGCCACCGAGATTCCTGCAAACGGATGCAAACATGAATCAGTAACACTCTCCCACAGTGATACTTGGAAGAAAAATAACTTTGATGGGAAACACTGTAATATTTCATCATTTCAAGTATTGTGTCCATCACCCGAGCGATGTGCTCCTCCTGTGCTCCTCCTAAGCATTTTTAACCATCCTGCTCAGATCACCTTTCTAAAGGTCCAAGGCCCAAACGATTTTTCTGTTGAYAGTTTTTATTTTATATTCTTCCACTTCAGCAAGGCCCAAAACATCATGTGTTGTATGCTGTGGGATGTAATCCATGCCCCAAAACTGAGTAACTTCTGGAAAGAATGGGTGAGGTATCTCCTAATCAAACTTTGCACTTTTAAGTGAGAGAGGTGTTATTAAAAATTCTCCTGGGATGGGAAAMCAACTTGAGAAACAATTTAACAAATTCAAACGTTTCAACAATTTCAAACAATTTAAAACTTGGGGTAATCAGTCATCCTAAGAACCTGCATTACCATGAAGGCTTCAAGACCCTCTTTATTAATTTTTTCTATTTTTCAAATGCAATTGAGTGGAAAAATTTATGTAATGTAGGTGAATCAAAAGTGGTACTATTTATGAATAAATAAGCCTGGATCTTATTTTTGAAACTAGAAAACAAAGGATAAAACTTTAAAACCACATAATGAATGTGGGCACTGGTTTGTAAAGAATAACAGGAAACAGTATAACTTGTCACCTTCGCTCCATATCTGCCTGGAATAATRAACACACTTGCTATGTACCATATAAAACACTTTATAGTGTGKTAGAATTTTTAACAATACTTCCAGATAAAAATCTTGCTCTTGATCAGCACATCATATTTTCTGTATTTTTTTTCCACAAAGTCAAGGACACTCCTTAAATGGAAAAAAAAGTATTCTTTGTATACTGTTATTATCAACATTTTGGCCACCTAAGGACACTTCCATGGAATAAGCTTATACTCCTCTTAAAGTCTCCTGTAGTGTGTGGTTTATCAGTTTATATTTATCTCAAATTACTCTTCTGAAGGTATTATTTTGAAAAAGTCATGAACAAGACTCTGAACTCACCCTTCACAATAAATAACAAAACTTGCTACTATAATCAAAAGCCCTCTATTTTCACCACATAAGACATCCCCTATTAAAGTTTTTTTGGTTTTCTTTTTATCATGCTAATTTCTAAAATCTGAAGATAAACACTCATAAATACACCCCCAATTGCCATTTTGACATGAATTGATCAAAAGCTCACTGAAGTCAATTGAAATTTCTCCGTCCATGTCAAAAGATTTCATGTCTATTCAACATTATGGAGTGTGTGTCCTRCTTGCTTTTCTCTTAATTTACATTACACAGGTTCAGCTTCTTCTTGGCACTATGGAAAAGAAATAGTAGGACTAAAACATGTTTAAAGAATTCATTAAAATTGCTGGAAATTAAGCTGAACTAGACCTTGTATAGAGAACTAACAGAACAGGGAAAAGGAAGATTTCATAACCTCTTTAAGAAGGAATGGAACAGGACACATACTGGGACAGTGCTCAGAAGCAGTAGCAAGCTAAGGGTAAAAGAAAAAAAAGTGTAGAGGAATTAGAAGACTCTTAAAACACTTTTCCTTAACTGTCAGCAGTATGGAGAAGCACACAGGCACTGCTGGRAGAAATGAAAACAACTACATCCCATTTCATCTCAGGAAAAACTTAAAAGAGCATTAAATATTTTAATTACAGGGAACCCGATTCATCACCTGCTCASAATTGGTACAAATAACATGTCAAGATGGTAAAATTTTAATTTTAAACTGTCACATTATGGGTATTTGCTTAGGCTGGAGAACGAAAAACCTGGCTTTGATGTGTTTACAAAAGACAGTTAAATAGTAGAGCAAATTTGACAACCACAGACTCATTCAAAGGTTGATACAWTAAAGTGCAAAGCTGCAGAGAGGGAAGATTGGGAGGAAGGGAGAGATAAAGTATGGCATGGATTTATGAAGATTAAGGTGCACTGGAATGCAACAAAGAAAATGTTGCCATGTCAGACATCATCAGCTAAAATGCACCATCAAAAGGTGGAAAAGGAAGTGTTATGGGAAAATGTCAAGTCACTGCTGACAGCTGAACTATCCATGCCAAACTTAATAATCTATTTAAGCACCAGTTAAATTTAATATTTTCAGCAATTTGAAAGATTTTGAGAAAATTTTATGACACTCTCAACACAGAATAGGTAAGCAATGTAAACATAGATAAATTATAAAGGGAGTACTGAATTATTGACAGGGTCATGMAACAGAGGTGGGAAGAAGTGTTGTAGTGCCCTGGACATGGGCACTCATTTTCTGAAAGATCTATTGTGGCCAATTACATATCCCAGTATGAGACAGATAAGAGGAAAAGATTGAGTAAGGAAAAATGCAACTGTGACAGGCTTCACTCTCTCTGCTCTCTAATTTCACAGAAACAGAGAAACAGAATGGTTTGGGTTGGAAGGGATCTCAAAGATCATCTTGTTTGACTCCCCTGTCATGGGCAAGGACACTTTTCACTATCCCAGGCTGCTCAGAGGTTGGAGTTTCCACAGCTTCTCTGGGCAGTCTGGTCCAGTGTCTCACCACTCTCAYAGTGAAGGATTTCTTTCTAACATCTCTGCTAAACATCTCCTCCTTCACTCTAATAAATAGATTTCATTTATTTAAAAAATAATAATCTGGAAACAGATTCCTTTCCCCATTCCTATTTGAGTATCAACCACTCTGGCACAGTCAGGCTCATTGTTTGCTCTCTGCCCTGAGTTTGGGTTCCTCTGCAGTGTAGATCCCCATGTCCTGTTGAGCATCCTGACCCCAGCTGCTCCTTCCCACATCTGTCTCCTGTCCATTCCAGAGCCACGGGGAAATGTCCACACTCCAAACACCTTCTCCTAGGCTCAGTCTGGACATGGGCGAGCACAGGAGGACCCCAGGAGGCCTAGAGGACCCCAGCCCTGCTCTGCATCCCTGTGTAACCACCAAGCTGCCTCACAGAACTGCTGAGGGCTTGGCTACCTCTACTGCATGAAACATGCAGGAAATGGAATCAAAATAAATAAAATAAATACTCATTTCCCCCTTTTTAACATTCAGTGCACAGGATAAACTGTGATCTCTCAGTGAGCAAGTCTATTTATCAGTCACTATTAAATAGTCACTATTTAAGTATTAGCTCTGGAATTAATCATTGGAGATAGGATTGTGATGGGTTTACTACAGTGCTGAACAACTTAGAAACAGAAATTACCATTTTGTATATTTTTTTATGCAAAATATTATTTTTTACCCATTTTGTATGTAGGGAACAAAGAGACAAAAGCCTCTGGCACCCAATGCAAGATACTCAAAATATCCAGGAAGGAGTGATTTGGCAGTCTCTTCTTTTTTGTGCTTCTTTAAGAAGCAGGAACACTTAAAATTTTAGTTTGGCAAAATATAATCACACACAGAGACAAAAAGGATTACATCTAGTCTAATTTTTAGATGCCCTGAAGCATCTTGCCTCACCCTGCTGCTGCAGCTGCAGAAGGATGCAGGTYTCTGTGATATTCTGTGTCACATCTGCCAGTCCCACAGGGGCATATAAGGTACCACAGGGCACCAAGATGGTACTATGTGCTTATATTCAAGCAACTGTATTTTGTCCTCTCTCATAGAGACTTGGCACAAAAAAATGCATATCAGAAATATTCCATTTGCCACACACACAAAAAGAAAAAGTCATAACCCTGCTCAGAACAGACTGGATAAATTTACTTAGGCAAGCATAAGAGAACACTGCACAAGTTCAGCATTTCTMTGTTAATCTGCTACCATGACACATAAAACACTCCTAAAAGTAAAGGACAACCATGCTGGCCTGGGGCCAAGGACTGAAAAAGCACTGAGGTGGAACTAATTTCTTAGCATTAGAACTGTCTTTTTCTCCCTTTAGTCAAGGATATGGCGCAGTGGAGATGATCATGAGGCAGCTGAGAAAAGAGAACTTCTCCATCTCAGGCTTCAGAGCAGCTATTCAAGCTCCCTTGTAGGACTCCAAACACCACTCTACAACCTCCTCTGGCTGCAGAGRATTGTAATCTCACAGTCACATCCCTGCTAGACAGTTTCTGTAACCCACTTTGCCAAAATGAGTTTTAATAACAGAGTTAGAAATTGCTTACCATCCTGTTTAAAACAGAGGAAACTCATATAATATGTGTATTTCCCCTCTGTTCTGCACCCACCTGGATGTGTGYTTTTACAGGTCATTACTATAGGTAYAGCTCTTACATGATTAATCAAGTATCAGTATCTCCCCAGGTAATAATCAGAACAGAAAGTCACCAGATTCAAGGCTGCACAAGTCTGACATAAAATTTGCAGAAGTCAGCAGGAGTTTTTTGTTGCAGAGTAAATGGCCTGTGGATCAGAACTTATAACARCCTTGACAGTGTCTGGTGTCCGAGTCCCATCATTTTCTCTTCACTAAATTGCATGTTAGATCATGTASATATTGAGAGGGAGAATTAAAGTATCTGTTACAAGTTCCCCAGATGGTTTTTTGTCCAACTTTTTATTGGAGTAACAACTAMCTTTTTACTGAAAACTTATATGGCATAGTTTGTCTTCACTGCTTAYTCATCTCCAAGAGAAGTAAAAATTTCAGAGAAAAGCCATGGGAAATGGGGAGCTTTCAAATGTGATTATTATCAGCAGCCAGCATATATACCAGAGCTTCTTTAGGAAAAAATATTAGAGTTATGCTGGAGCTAGGCAAAATTTCAGACAGAACTTCCTCTCAGTGATGCATTTAGACTCAGGTTAACTTCCATAAAAAACAAAATATAAATTAGGCAATTGAAATAATTGAGGAGGATAAGATCCAGTTTTTCAAACATGAGCACATCCTATCATTTTGATGCCYTTGGGTACCTCTGATGCCCCTKTGGGACTGGCAGATGCAMCACATAGAGCTCT